AAAAAAAAAAAAAAAAAAAAAAGACTGTAAAATTTGACCCTCTTTTCTCCCAGTTTTTCCTTCTTCTGTAACATTGGTCTACCTGGCCCAAAAAGCAGAAAACAGCATTTTAAGCTTATTGAGGTATTGAGGTTGAAGACCTAGATTTAGTTTCTTTGTATCACCTTCAGAGAACACAGCACAGTGGTACTAAACAAACTCTTTTTGAAATTGAATGAGAGAGATGTTAACCAGAAGTGAAGAGTTAGTGCTGTCTTTAAATACCTATTTATAACACACTGTTAATACCACTGATGAAAGAGACATTAATTACCTGGTTTAGGAAAAAGGTTTGAGATTAAAGTCTGAATTCCCTAGACCTCAATGTCAGTTAATCACAAAGCACCCATTAAAGCCATTATAGCGGGCCATGGTAGTCAGCCTTCTTCACTTAGACTCCCAGAAATTCTACTGGCTCCAAACAAACACTTGATGTAATGTTTAAAACACCACTACTCCTTCCTATATGCAATGGTCTATTTTCTGCCAAAATGGAGCTGTGATTCTCAAAACAAAATTATACAAACTTCTTTTATTTACAACCAAGACCATCAAATGTTTCTTCAAGTGTCTGATATGTGGACAAAGCTAAATGAGTGCAAGTTTAGCAATAGATCTAATACTCTACTACATTGTAGCATTTGAGAAATATTTGCAGAATGACTGTTAAATAAACGAATCCCAAATAAAGTAATTTGCCAAGAAAAAATGACATCCCACAAAGAATACAAGTACATAACGAGACAAAACACTTACCTATCTAAATAATTAACAATATTAGGGTTCTTATTTTCCCTCATGACCAGAATTTCATTAATAATTAATTCCTTCTTGGGTTGCTGTTGTAGGTTCATCTGCTTTATGGCCACCTGAATGGCAATTAAAATACAAGAATGAATTACAATCATTATAATAAACATGAATATTCATATTTTGGGGGACACAGAGTGAAACATACACATTCTTTATTTACTAAGCTCTTTCCCTGTGCCACAAACTCATGCTCCCCACTTTTATTTTTGGTTAATCATGGGTAAACCACTCACTTCAGAGGCTTTGGGCACCAATGAAGGAAACACCTATCTCAACCCAGTGCTACCCATTTTTTTTTTAAGGCAAAGTTGCTATCAAAGAAGATAAGTGATAAATATGAATAAAAGAAAATAAAAATCAGCATTGAACGTTAGCACTTACCTCTTGTCCTGTTGCAATGTCGAGTGCTGTATAAACAGTACCTGATGCCCTGTGAAGGTGAAAATTATCAAAAGAATAAGCAATCAAGCTGTTACCAATATATTTTACTTGAAATAAAATGTAATTATTTTGAGGGGAGGAAAATTAGCAAACTCAAAATTAAAGTATGAAGAAAAGGAACAACCTTTTAAAAAATATTATTGTGATTAAAAAAACACTTCACAGGAGATCTACCCTCTTAACAAAATTTTAAGTGCACAATATTGGAACAATCTTTTTATACAGCAAACATACCTGAAACAATCACAATGTATCCCTTGTGGTGGAGTGTAGGAACTCCAGTCAGACTTTCTGGCACCAGTCTGAGTGTCATGCACTATGCAGTAATAAATTGAGCAAAATGGCCTTGCTTCTTTTAGGAAACTCCTGGAATCCCCTAAATGTTTCTTGAATCTTGTACTAACCAATATTGCAGGCCTCTGATTAAACTGAAGAATAGTTTAGGAAAGAAAATACCATCTTTTGCTTAGGCAAGCATAAATTAACCTTCACTTTTACTATAGAAACAGAGTGGCTCTTTTAATATATTTCCAATTTTTAAGACTATTTTCATCTAAAGAATCAATCTCTCTCAGTGCTGTACCGTACTATGGCTACATGAAGCAATAGCAACATGACTTTACTATTGAGCCATTGTTTTCTTATTTTTACTAAATTTCTCAACAACTTCTATGAAGTGTCACTCCAGCCCAATATTCTTTTAAAATCTATCATTTCTGGGCCTGGTGCAGTGGCTTACACCTGTAACCCCAAAATTTTGGGAGGCTGAGGCAGCAGGATTGCTTGAGCCCAGCAGTTTGAGACCAGCCTGGGCACCATGTTGAGATCCAGTTTCTATGAAAAAATTTAAAAATTAGCCAGGTGTGGTGGCACATGCCTGTAGTCCCTGCTTTTCAGGAGGCTGAGATGGGAGGATCACTTGAGCCCAGGAGTTCAAGGTTGCAGTGAACTGTGATTGTGCCACTGCACTCCAGCCTGGGTGTCTTAAAAAAATTAATAAGGAGCCAGTTCATGTCGCAAAAAATTAATAATGTATCATTCTTTATATCTTAGTAGTACTCTTGGTTCCATTCCAACTTCGATTATGGTGTTCCCTTGTTTTGCAAATAGAAATTGTACAGTAAGCTGCATTCACAGTAACTTTCTATGAATCACAAATGCATTCTAAACCACCTTCCACCACCACCCTCAAGAAAAAGAAATAAAAAGTCAATTTCGCTTTTAGTGAATAAAGGAGTTAGAATAGAGATCAGTCCTGTGATTGACTACGCATTGTAATGCTCCAACATTGCTCTGTAAACTTTCTGTAATTATTTTTCTCTTATTCTCTATTTCATCCTTGCTGTTTCGTTTTCTGAGTCCAGGAATTATTTTCTTATGTCAGGCACTTCCTTGTCATTCTTTTCCCTTCTCCTTGGATTAGCCCAAATATTTCTCACAGGTCCAGGAAGTGGACCTGGCTCTCAGGGAGTAAACTTGGTATGTAGTATAAGGCATATCTGACTATTAGTAGAGATCTGAGTTCTAATATTTGTCCTAACATCATCAAGCTATGTGACTTTGGGCTAGTCACTTCCTTTCACTGAGTTTCCGTCCCGTCACATGGAAAACAGGTATCACAATAACAGTAAACATGTACTGAGTATGTTGTATATGTCAGACACTACACTAAGAACTTTAGATAATTTATCTTATGTAATCCTTACCATATTTTTATAAGGCAGATGCTATTATTCCCATGTTACATATGATGAACTGAGGCTCAAAGAGGTTACCTGCCCAAGGTTACATAGTTAACAACCCATGTCTGTCTGACTCTCACTTTTAAAGTACAGGAAATGAGCTACTTTTTTTCTAAGGGTCTTTAATTCTATGATTTATAATCTACAACTCTACCACCCTCCTCACTCTGCTTGGGTTTCTAAACATCGATTGGAACTAGGCTGAAAAATCACACTTAATCAATAGGTGCCACCTAAACCAGGATTTGGTAATTCTAGAAATTTCTTAGGCTTGAGGCTTGTATCAAACAAATCATTTCCTCACTTTTGTAAGTGTGAGATTCTAGGCTCAGAGCTCACAGTTAGTGCCCAATAAATATTTGTTGAATAAACAAATCAATAAAAATCTTGTAAAGCAAACATGCAATGCCAATACGACCTTTTCTTTCTGTGAAGAAAACATTTCTTCTACTTAAATCTAAATAAAGCACTTTGCTCCTGGAATAAGCAAACAGACATTCCTGACTTCAGAGCCCGGTGTATGATTTGTCCTTCTGAACTTATCTGAGTTCAAAGGAATAGATCACCTCGACTTGGTGTATATTTCAGCTGCAATAAGTCCTGAGAAACTAGTTAAATCTAATTGCAAAATATGATTTAAAAATGCCTTTTGACATACAGCTAGCAAACATATGAAAAAATGCTCCACATCAATAATCATCACAGAAATGCAAATCAAAACCACAAAGAGACACCATCTCTCACCAGTCAGAATGGCAATTATTAAAGAGTCAATAAACAACAGATGTTGGCAAGGCTGCCAAGAAAAGAAAACACTTATACACTGCTGGAGGGAATGTAAATTAGGTCATCCGCTGTGGAAAGCAGTTTGGAGAGTTCTCAAAGAACTTAAAATGGAACTACCATTTGACCCAACAATCTTATTACTGGGTATATAACCAAAAGAAAATCACTTTATCAAAAAGATTCATGCACTTGCATGTTCATTGCAGTACTATTCACGATAGCAAAGACATGGAATAAACCTATGGGCCCATCAATGGTGGATTGGATAAAGAAAAATGTGGTACATGTACACCATGGAATATTATGCAACCATAAAAAGACTAAGATCATGTCCTTTGCAGTAACATAGATGGAGCTGGAGGCCATTATTCTAAGTGAACTAATGCAGGAATAGAAAACCAAATACAACATGTTCTCACTTGTAAGCTGGAGCTAAACACTGGGTACTCATGAACATAAAGCTAGCAACAATAGACACTGGGGACTACTAGAGTGAGGAGGGAGGGAGGAGGGTAAGAGTTGAAAAACTAACTGTTGGGTACTATGCTCACTTCTGGGTGATGGGATAATTTGTACCTCAAACCTCAGCATTATGCAATATACCCAGGTAACATACTTATACATGTACTCCCTAAATCTAAAATAAAATTTAAAAATAAATAAATAAAAGTGACTGTTTGGTTTATTCACATGTATTTAGGCCACATGCACAATTACTTTAGATGCAAAAGAGTGAGAGTATCTGCAAAATGGGATAATAGTTCCTATTTCACAGGGCTGTAGAGAATTGCATGGCACAATCTATGTAAGCATTTAGCCCTGTGCCAGATCAGAGTTGATGCCTATATGGTAACTGCTATTACCATCATTTGTTGTTGCCACTGTTGCTATTGGTTTCACAGTAGGGGATGACTGATACACTGAACTATTAGTTGGCCCATCCCAACCTCCCAGCCAAAGCATCCTTGCTAACATCTGCCCCTATTCCCAAAAAGGACGGAGGCTGAGGTAAACTATTGGAACACGTTTTACAGGTTCCACATCCTTTCTTTCCCCCTAGGGAAGTGGTTTTACCCTTTTCTTTGGAAGTTGGAACGCCTTTATCAAATGAAACTGTATGAAAAAACTCTCAATATATTAAACAAATAAATTGGGAGTTGCCCCAGTTAAAGCTAGGGAGGGAGGCCCAAAATGCGTGCCCAGGTGGCCTTTCTGTTATTCAACACTCCTGTCTCCCTAACCCCCAAGTTCATTTCCACTGTCTTAAGGGCTAAAATTGTGATTGACTTGGGGGAGTGCAAGTGGGGATTCATGTTTAACATTTTGAGAGCTTTACCTTTCAGATTCTTGGGTTTATTTTTTGTTGTTGTTGTTGTTGTTGTCCTCCTCCAGCACCCTCAGCATTTCATTGTATTAAAATTGCTAGAATTCTAACCCTGGAATCTCAATATCCTGGGATTTATGGCATCCAGGGGTATAAAATTGCTATAAATTACTAATCCACAGAGGTTAAAGATCCTAAAACTCTAGAGCACCAGCTGCTAACTAAAAATGAGTCTTCCTCCTCACCTCCCCTCCCCACTTACCGCACATGTGCAATTATGTAATGTGTGTATGTGTGTGTGTGTGTGTATATATATACATATATATATGCATTTCCCTACCCTGTACCCTGGTTCTCTTGTCATAAAATGGTAATATACTCTCCTACGACACTTACCAACCCCCTAAACCAAATATGTTGTTAGGTGGTTGGAACTCCCTGCTCTGACAAATAAGTTACGGGTTTGTGCAACTTCTAGCCTTTGCACAACCTTCAACTCGAAGGCACAAATTCGGATACTAACCTGCAAATTAAAATTTAGCACCTTTTCCCCAGCTCTGTCTTAGCACCCCCAACATATTTCCGCACCCCAGTTCTGATGGTTTTCCGTATTCTAACAATTTAAAATTCTACGGGTATAAATATGAATCTCTCCTTCAAGAGATCTCAACTTCCTTCAAGATTCATTTGTTAAAGCTCTCTTATTGCTCACTGCTGGGTTGAGAACAGTAGTCCTCACTCCCATTCATTCAAACCTCCCCTGGTTCAAGTCCTACTAGTTCCTAGTTCTCAGACTTTGGGTAAGTAATTTAGTTTCTTTGTCATTTAGGATTAAAGGAGGACTAAATGTATATAGTTCTGGCATACAGTGATTTCCCAATAAATATTAGCAATAATGATAATTATTATTTAGTTGATTATTTCCTAACATATTCATTAAGTTCTCAAATGCTAGTGTGTGAATCATAAGAAAGCTCTGTAAGTATCTGGGAGTTTTTAAGATATTTGATGTTTCAAAATTCATAACAAAAAAATGACAATTACCTGAGAACAGCTAATTCAAATATCACATATACTTCCTTTTAGCTAGAATTATATCAACTTGTAATTACATTGGATATCACATGATGATTAAAA